ACAACACCCTCAGAGATTAAAGACGTCTGCCTGAGGCCTTAGAAAGGAGGTTGCTGATTAAATGGGTATTTTGGTTGTTACCAAAACCAATGTAGGAAGAGGACAGACATCATATTTCTCATGCTGTAGGTTTTCTCCATAGATGATTCACTAACCTTGTCAAAATCACTGACTTCAGCTATTTGGAGAGCCTGCCTAGAGTGAAGAAAGCCTGCCTTCTTACTTAGCTGTCACAAAGGGACCAATCCCTATTCCATGTTTGTGGTATGCCTGAAGCCTACCATTTGACCAGAATGTCCCTTTTGGAGACAGAACTGTGGTTGCCTCAAAGTTGGAAAGGGAACTCAAAGGTCACCTTGTCTAACTCATGCCTAAATTTTCCCTATAACTACTCCTACGAGTAGCTATTACACCTCTGGCTTCTAATAATATGGAACTCTCACTTCCTTATGAGGCAGGCCATTCTACTTTCAGACTTTTAAAAGTTTTCCTTACAATAAACTGAAATCTTCCTCTCTATAACTTCCACTCACTGTTCCTACTTCAACCCTCTGGGGCCAAGCAAAATAAGTCTCATGCCTTTTCCCCTTGACAGACAGACCTTCAAGAGGCAAGTATCGCTTCCCTAAGCCAAACATTCAGTACCTTCCCCACCCTGGAAAATCCCATTGGATGTTGGTGTCATCCAAAAGTGGTACCCAGAACTGAGCATCCTACTTCAGGTATGGTCTAAGAAATAAGACCAGTCCAAACACTGTGCTTCTGGAAGGTAGGACTGCAAGAGCTCTCGTGCTGACTCACTGTAGACTCAGGTCAAGCTCATAGTCCACTAGTAAGAAAGTAAGGCAGGGGCAGAAACACGGCCACCCATTTTCAAATATTACATTCATAACAAACTGATGTGTCAGCCAAGAACATGAAGCCAGAAGAAGTAAAGCCCATATTACGTCATGGAGTCACTGACCATCAGAGCTGAAAGGAGCATTGAATGAGATCACAAAAGCACTGAATTTGAGAGTTGGGATGAATCTCGGCACTCATTGAATCCAACCCTTACATGAAAGGAAACCCCACTAGAACATATGAGCCATTGCCCGTCATCTGCTTGACAACCTCTGACCTCTTAATTCTCCAAGGCAGCCAATTCTGCTTCTTGCATGACTCTAATTGTTAGGCAGTTTTTCATGGCATCACACCTAAATTTGCTGCTTTTATTAGAACATCTAATTAACCCCGCCTCATTTTAAGGAGGAGGAAATTGGGACCCTGAGATGCCAAACAGCTTGCCTGAGATAACCCGGTGACTTAGGATCAGAGCCAGATTTTCTCACCCTACGTCTTTTGCATGCTGCCCTTCCCAGGACCAAAGACGGGGCCTCACTAATTCACATATTCTCTGGGATCCAAACTGTCCCTTGTCTGTCTTCCCCTGGTATTGGTCATCTGCAGAACCCCTAGTGTGAATGACACTCTTTGGGGGCCTCCAGGGTAACAGTGAGCTGAAAACACATAGGGCTGATCAGAGTAGACAGGCACTTCCCCACCCTGACCTTGAGGGCTATTTCCCCTAAGATGTCTGTCATTCACTTATCATGAGTGACAAGTGGGTACATGAAATCATGGCCCACCTGTCTCCTGTCATCAGGAAGGCTTTTGTTGGCAGACCTGGGATGCCCAGAGGGTCCCTGCATGTGATGTTGCCACAATACATGTCAGTTGGAGAAAGGAAATCTGCCTGGACTTTAGTAGGATAAGTCATGGGATTGTTCTGGAATACAAAGAAAAAACTCTTCTGCCAACTGGAGCATTAATAACTTATGTTAACAACTCCACAATCCTGTAGCTCCTTAAGCTCACTCTAATGCTTTCCTCCAACAACTCTATGATGTAGGTAGTATAAAGATAATTAATACCATTTTACAGATAAGGAAACTGAGGCCTAGGGACAAGAAAGTGATCTGTGATTTGCCCAGGATCATGGAGCTAGTAGTAATAACAATAATAGCCAATATTTATATAGCACTTTAAGTAGTCAGAGTGCTTCATATGCATTATCTCATTTGATCCTCATAATAACCCTGTAAGGAAGGTGTTGTTATTATCTCCATTTTACAGATGAGAAAACCAAGGCTTAGATTTGGTTAAGTGAGTCTAAGGGTCACACAGCCAGTAAATGTAGGAGCTCAGGTTCAAACTTGGGTCATACTGCTCGTGAGTTCACCTCCTATACAACCTGGCTTCTGAGTTCATATCTAGGGTTCTTTCTAGTACACCATATTAGCATGTCTCATTGCTTCGATGCTATTGGGGTACTTTAAGAAGTTCTGGCTGGCCAGCCTGTGGGAGTATGAACAGATACACTTGATCTCCCTGGATTAGACCAGACCCCGTGCCAGCCCAATCCACAATAATACTTGTCACCTAGAACAGAGGTTTCAAACATGCTCCCAAAACTCTCCAAGTGCATGCTGAACCAGATTAAAATGTAATTGGGAAATACTGAACAAAATAAAGAAAAATACCATTGAGCATGGATAATGTTAACAGGTGGTTTCCTAAGTAAATATGCAGCCTGCAGGAATCCTTATGTACCATGTAATGGTCCCCATTTCTATTTGAATTTGACACCACTACCCTGTAATACGGCTTTGGGGCTAGAAGAGATGTATGGCTTATTAGAACCTTGAGAAACCAACTTTATACTGAGGTTAAGAAGGAGGATGTTAGAGAGAGCAAGAATCCCATCCTAGAGGTCTAGATGGTAGAGCCCAGAACATCTTATGTGGACATTCCCATCACTAGTCAATGGGTCAGTAAGCTTGGCCAGTGACACTGGGCTAAGGAGGAGCCCCTGTGGAACTGTTAGCCCTGCACCAATCAGTCCTACTTCATTGGGAACCCCCTGAGTCAAGAATCTTGGCAGTAGGCCCACTCATTCAGACCTGTTACTGAATGTGGGAGTCAGTGGCCTTAGGTTCAAATCTCAGTTCTGCTACTTACCACCTCTCTGATGTGGGAGAAGTTACTTCAGTTCTCTGGGGCCTCCTTCTCATCTGTAAAATGAGGGAGCTGTATGTGATGATTGCTGGGTCCCTTCACAAATCTCTGATACTGAGAACAACCAATTTTGCCTGACAAAATGGTATTCTACTGGAAAGGAAACTGGCTTTAGAGGAAGAGGACTTTGGTTTGATTCTGAGCTCTATAGTCAAATGGCTTCTCCTTTCTGGACCTCAGTTTTCTCTTTTATGAACTAAGAAGGCTCGATGAGCTGGTCTCTAAAGTTCCTTCTGGTTCTAAATGTTCTAATCCTATGAGTTTATGAATTTACAGGAGCCCAAACTGACTTCCTTGAGGCTGCCAGATTAATGTTGTCAGACTCAGAATATGAGATTGTAAATCGTTGTGAAGAGATATATTTTATGTTATATATATGTCACATACAATATACACCATACCTTCAGGTGTAATAACAGAAATCTGACACCTGCCATCTCAAAAGACAGTGACTTAAATAAATATATCTAAAGCATGCAGAATACTCATTACCTTGTCTTTTTGACTCTTTTCTCCCATTCTTGTCTGTTGCCTCAGCCCTCCATTTCTGATCTCAGTTGTCCAAAGCATGCTACCTTTTACAGAAAGCAGAATGCTCATTTTGGTTGAATCTGCTTTGACTTCTGTAGGAATGATAAATTCTTCTCACATCTCTCTTCTCTCACTGACTGTGGCTATAGAGTTACTGGGCTTGTGACAAAAATGTAATCTTTAACAACACCAAGAAAAGGTCTGGGACAAACAGAAAAGCAACACAGAGAAGCACTAGCCTGGCATCAGGAGACTTGGGCTTGAGTCTTGACTCAAACACCAGTTGTACAAGCCTAGACCAGTAAGATCTCTGGAGGCTCATCTTTCTCTATTTGTAAAATGAGGGAGCTAGATCCTCCCCATCTCTTATGTTTCCTTCCAGCTGTGACATTCTTTGGTTCTGGGTTGTAGTCAAACAAGAATAAATGGTAAGAGTCTTGAGCAAGAATCTTAGAGAGCCGTGGTTCCCCAAGTGTGAAGGTCTCCCAAGGATATGCAGGCTCTTTCTTGAAATTATTTAGTTTATGATAATAATAGTAATAGCAATACTAGGTAACATTTATATGGTGCTTACTATGTAGCAGGCACTGTGCTAAGCATTTTATAATTATTATCTCATTCGATCCCAATAACAACCCTGGGAAGTAGGTGCTATTATTTATTCTCATTTTACAAATGAGGAAACTGAGTGAAATAGTGGCTAAGTGACTTGCTGCTGGTTATATTATCAACAATGGTAGTAATGATGATAATCAAATGAGATAATATATGTAAAGCTAAGTTTAAAATTCTATATGAATGTTATCTATTACTGTTGCTATTATTAAATGATGATGTAGCTAATTTTAAAGGACTAGATTCATTGATTCATCTAATAAACATTTATTTAGCACTTATAATAAAGAGAGCCCTATGCTAGGTCCTATAGGAGTTACAAAAGTCAATAATATGGTCTGTGTCTTCAAAGACTTTAGAGTTTAATAAATGGACTAAGATGGGCCCACAAAAATATCTAACGCAAATTATCATATGATAAGTGCATAAGATAACTATAGAGTACTATGAGATCGGACTATGTATAGTCTTTAGACATACTAAAAATCACTTGTGGCAGAGGGAATCTGGGGGATATGTTCATGGAAAAGGTAGCATTTGAACAGAACATTGAAGGATGAGTAGGAAGTCAGTAGGCAGAGAGATGGATGGTGAGAGTATTCTAAACATAGAGAATAGCATGAGTTAAGGTTCCTTTCATTTCTGGCATCACAAAACCCTCCAACTCACTGAATATCCCAGCACAGGACATGCTTGCTTGTATCTTCTAGACTTTAGTGGTGATGGTTGTGTGTTCATCTTGTCCTGTTGGGGGAGAAGAACAGCTCAACTAAAATTATTCTTTCTTTGCCTTTCAGCCATAGTCCCGCTCACAAGTACTACCTGACGACAGACCCCATCACTGGATCCATCTTCCTCTCTGACACCAACAGTCGGCGGGTCTTCAAGGTCAAGTCAACCACAGTCGTGAAGGATGTTGTCAAGAATTCCGAGGTGGTGGCAGGCACGGGAGATCAGTGCCTTCCCTTTGATGACACTCGCTGTGGCGATGGCGGGAAGGCAACGGAAGCCACGCTCACCAATCCCAGGGGTAAAGACAAACTTGTGGTCATTATTTTTACAGACAAATCCTGGGAGTAAAGAACAGGCTGGGGTAGTTAATATTTACCTATAATTTTCCTGTCATCTCATGGGAAGCAGTAAATAGGAATGGGATGAGAAGCAAACAGCAACCACTGCCACAAAAACAGCCATCTGTTTGAATATTGGTTAGCAGTCCCAGGAACGTTCAATGCAATTCAGACCAACAACCATTCATTAAGTGCCTGTTATTACACAAGGCCTCATGCTCAGTGCTAGGTATGCAGTCTTTGTCCCCAGGGAGCTTACTATCTAATAGGAGAATACAATGTACACACAAATAGTATGATTTTAAATAAACTGTGATGATGCAAAAGATTTAAGAGAGGGAGACCCAATTAGGAAGCTGTTATATAATAATCAGTAGTTAATAAACATTAACTAAGCACCTCCATTGTGCTTAATGCACACTGTGCCAACCCAGGGATAGAAATATGAAAAAGAAAAAGAAAAATGATCCCTGCCCTCAAGGGACTTACAGTCTAATAGAGGAAGACAGCACACAAAAGAGAAATGAAAAGGGAAGGTGGGGAGGGGAGGTAGCCAAGATGGGAGCCTGGGGAGAGGCCCCAAGAGTCCGGTACAGGTGGATGGCTCCACCGTCCGATCAGAGGGTACTGATGAGGTGTGTAATAGTCCTGGAAAGAGATGCCAAGAGGAAATTCTCTGGGAAGAAGCTGTGCATGGGGTGGATTCTTATCCGTATTATCCATCTTGCCATTTAGCACTGCTTGAGCATGGATGCCTTTCCAGAGAGCATCCTCAATCCAGTGGGGTTAGATTTCCTCAGAGATAACTGGAGGAAAAACACTAATCCCTCCTTTTTACTTATATATACATATGGCTTCTTCCCCAATAATCATTTTTAAGAATTATTAATGGTTTAATTTTCAGCAACTTTAATACATTCCTTCCCTATCTTAAAACATTTCTACCCTCTTAAAACTTTAGATTTTGTTCATAATAATAATAATAAAAGCTAAACATTTATGCAGGGCTTTAGAGGGTTTGCAAAATGTTTTGCGTATGTTATGTACTTTGATTCTTGGAGGAACCCTGTGAGACAAGTGCTATAATTACCTCCGTGTTCTAGAGGAGGAAACTGAGGCTGAATAGGATAAATGACTTAACCAGGGTCACACAGAGCACTCAGGATCCTCTGACTCTTTCCATCCCCTGCCTCTCGATCAAGTATAAAACCTTTGAGAGAAGACAGCTATTTTTCCTCTTGGAGATTGCTTATTTCTAAATGCAGAACCTCTTCTAGAAATGTTTGGTTCAGGGTTCAAAATTTTTGACTCCCAAGTGGAGCACTCTATCCATTACATGACCTAGCAGGAAGGGCTCTAAGCAAAATTTACTGCTCCTTGCCCAGCTAGGTGGCACAGAGGATAGAACACTGGGCCTGGAATTGGGAAGACCTAAGTTCAAATGTGGCCTCAGATACTTACTTGCTAGGAGACCCTGGGTAAGTCACTTAATGCTGTGCGCCTCAGTTTCCTCATCTGTAGAACAAGGTGGAGAAGGAAGTGGCAAATCACTCTAGTATCCTTGCCAAGAAAACCCCAGATGGGGTCACGAAGAATCAGACATGACTGAAATGACTGAACTACAACAATGTCCACAAAAAGGACTCACCCACTCATAAAAGCATTGTACTGGAAAGCACCCTAAGATGCCTACTCTTGGGAAACAGAGTAGTGCAACATAAACAATAGCATTCTCATGGTATGAATAGGAAATATTATAAATGTTATCATGTCCATTTTATAGATAGGGAAACTGAGGCTTAGAAGGCAAAGTTACTTGCCCACAAGATCATTACCAGGATTTCAGCTCTGCCCTCCTGACCTAAAGTCAGAAAGAACATTAGACTTGACCCTGATTTCTAGTTCCAGTTCTGCCTATGCCTTGCTAGCTGTGTGACCTTGAACACGTTATTTTGGCTTGATGTGGCCAGATCAGAGGATCACTAAGGTTTCTTCCAGCTCTAACAGTATGAGTTTACCACTAGCCATTGAACAAGTTTCTTTCCCTTTCCCAGCCTCCAAAAAAACACAGTTATCCCTTCTGCATCTGCATTACGGACACCATCCTACCCCAGCGGTTGGAAAAATCTGCATAAAATGTTTTGGCTTTCTCTTCATAGCAGAGGAGAAGTCTGAATTATTATGGTATTAAAAAACAAAATATGTTGGTGTTATACAATACTATACATATATTTTATGCATTTCTGAGTTTCTAAACTTTTTCTATATCATCTACTAGCCTTTGTATGTTGTCTGCAGCTTCCACATACCTCCCCCCAAAATTTCCATTTAATTTCTTACACCAACCCAAGATATATATTGAAACCTCAGTGTAGAAAGTCAAGATATAGAGGGGATAACTGTAGTCCCATTAGGAGAGTAGCTGTGCCCCTCCCTCACCCATCCCCTACCATGTTATTCTAGCTTTGTATCAGAGAATTTGCATGTGTCTCTGGCTCAGGAACAAAAGTCACTCGGAGCCACTTTACCCTGAGAAGGCCGGGAGAGCCACAGACATCTATAGTAGCAGGTGTACGTCCTGGAGGTGTGTCCCACATCAGAGAATTTTATAGCAGGTAGGGATTTGAGAAGACAGAATTCTGGATCCGAGAACACAATTGTTAACCACATGATTCAAATACCTGAAGGATCACAGATTTCATTGATTTGGGTCTTTCCTCCTGCCTAAAAGAGAGGAATAACTTGCTGATTTCTCCTTTAGAATTGTGGTTCATCTCATTACCCGTCCTGCCTTTGAACACTTTGAAGTCTGCTCTAAGGGAGGTTGGCAGACTGTGCCTAGCTTTTTTTTTTTTGTCCTCTATTGCAAACTAGAAGATGGAAGGATCGTTTCCCTATCAAGGCTCCCGTCATTTCCACCCCAGCAGTCAGTCCCTTGTATTCCTTTTATGCTGAGTAGGTACCACTGGTGCCCACGGTATTGGTTAGCTCTCTCTCTTTTCTACATCCTTTCTTTCTGACCGTATGTTTCTTTGATGTAAGGGATGTTACCAATGAAAAATCAAAGGTTTTTGACGTCTTTCCTAAAATGTGACACCTTAAAATCAGCAAGTCATCAAGCATTTATTGAACTCCTACTGTGTGCCAGACATGTGCTCAGCACTGGGGACACAAAGAAAGGCAATAATAAAAATAACATTAAATTGAAATATGATTTTGTGCTCATTGAAGACATTGTATGTAAAATCCCTTGTACAAAGTATCCAGTTGTCCAGGGTAGTGTGTGAAGGGCCTTCAGAGGTCATTTTGTCCGACCCCTCCCCAGAGCATTAATCCTTTCTGCAGCCTCCCCATCCAGTGATCATTCAGCCCTGGCTGGAAGAGTTCCAGGAACATGGAACTCCTTACCTTGGAAAAGATCCTGTGTGCCTGCTCCACAGAATCTCAGGGCAGTTATAATTCTTAGAAAGTAGTTGTTTCATATTGACCTGAAATCTTGCCTCTCTGTAACTTTCCCTCATAGATCCTATGTCTGCCCTTAGGGACCAAAAAACAAAACAAAATCAAAAAACCCTCAAATTTATTCTTTCACAGTCATTCAAATACTTGAAGACAGCCATCTATTATGTCTCCCCTAAACTGCTTCTGCTTCAACCTCAAACCCCCCCCACAGCTCCTTGTATGCATCCCCATATAACAATTCTGAATCTCACTCACTGCCCTTCCCTAGTATTTACAAGGTAATTATACCCCAGAATCATAAATCAGACCTGGAAGGAACCTCAGAGACCTTCTAAGGTTCAACCATCTTATTTTACAAATGAGCAAACTGAGGCACAGAGAAGTTAAGTAATTTGTCCAAGGTCATACAGGTATTAAGAGACAGGGGCAATGTGAACTCGGGGTCCTCTGACTCTTTGCAATGTTATCCCCTACCTCTCCATCAGGTATAAACCCCATGAGAGAAGACAGTCATCTCTCTTCTTGGTGATTCCTCATTTCTAAAGACTGTCTCCTCTACAAAAATAATTGTAATAATAATTTAAACCCCAGCTTCGTTAGAAGACTACTTAGTTTTCTTCTAAGACCCTGTCTGGGATTCTGCACGCACGCGCACGCGCACACACACACACACACACACACACACACACACACACACACACACACACACACACACACACACACAAAAATATGTTGTGGCTGTGAGTTGCCCCAAAGCCTGTAATTAACCCAGATCCAAGTGACAGCTCAGCCACCACTGGCTGACAGTTTTCAGAGGGAGGGGAAGGGAAGTCCATCTATTTAACACAACAAAAGGGAAGGAATTAATCAGGGGACTGATCATTTCTATTAGCTAGTGCAGCCAGAGCCATAAACAAAGCCGCCATTGTTAACTGAGTCCTCCTCAGTTCTGGCAGATGGAGAGGGGGAGGAAACAAAAGACAGGAACTTATCCAGGCAGACAAGGAAACCCCTGTCTTGGTGCTTGCAGAGCGTAATTAATTTCTATCCAAGGCAGGCAAGGGAAGAGGGATTCCCCTTCTACGAACTTACCTTGTCCTCTCTGAAAAATTACTCTCCCGCATTTAGAAATGTAATGCTAATGGAGTAGCTCCTAGTGGATGTCTTATGATAATAACAGGAACAAAGGGCATTCACCCTGACATCTATGAATTATTATCCCCATTTTATTGATGATAAAACTGAGGCTCAGAGAGGTTGTGACTTCTGCGTCTAGTCACCCAAGTAGTAAGAGTCAGAGGGTGGATTCAGAGCCAATCTAGGGTACATTAGACTGTTCTACATTGTGGTAAATAGCACAGTATTGCCCAAGGAGCTATGTTCTTTGGCTTTGTCAGTTCCCCACTGTGGGGCTTAGTGTCCCCACTGGTAGAATAAGGGGTTTGGACTAAATGACTCCTAGGGACTTCCCAGCTGTGTTGTGACATTGTGTCTTAAGGTCTCTTCCAGCTTTGACATCGTTTATAACCTGGAGGCAGCAGCCCCAGACACATAGAAGGAGCCAACTCGCTTCCCCCCACCCCAGCCTGCGCTGTGTTCAAGCATTGTTCCGTAGTCATTGGATATCAGAGTAAGAAGGGGAAATATAAGCGGTCAGGAGCCATTTAAAGAAGATCACAGAAGGGGTAGGAGTGTGCAGTAGGATAAGTGGGTGACCAGGAGCAAGACTTCTCTTCCAGGTCATTTCACAGAATCTCAGAGCCAGAATGGCCTCAGAGGACATCTAGTCCAACCCCTGCCTGAACAGAGAATCCTCCCTCCCCCACATCCAGCAGATGGCCATCAAACCTTGGTTCAGATGCTTGCAATGAAGGGGAATTCACCACCTCCCAGGGCAATCTAATTGTTGGGGACGGTTTTTCTAATATTAAGCTGAAGTTTTACTTCAGCCTATTTCTTCCTTTTGCCCTGGGTTCTGCCCTCTGGGGAAAAACAGAATAAGTACATATTCTCTTCTATATAACAACCCTTCAAATATTCATTATTCCTTTATTTACTGTTATAACTTAGAATCACAGTGTCATAGAATGTCAGAGTGGGGAGGCCTCTCAGACAACATCTAGTTCAATCCCCTACCCTAACCCTACCCTAAGCATAATTCCCCTCTATATCATTCCCAACAAACACTCATCCAGCTTCTTCTGAAGTACCTCCAGTAATGGGGAGCTCACTACCACATCATCACTGCCCCCTCCCCAACCCGTCTAACTCCCCAAGATTGTATATTTCATTTTGGGAGAGCTTTAAGCATTAGGGAGTTGTTTTTTTTCTTCTTCTTATGACTATCATTTTTTCTCTTTGTGTCCTCAGCACCAAACACAGTGCCTGGCATACGTACCATAAATATTTGATGAATCATTATTTAATTAGGTTGAGCCCAAACCTGCCTCTCTATGACTTGGTTCCATTGAACCTGGTTCTGCCTTCCTAATCCAAACAGAATAAGTCCAATTCTTTTTTTCCTCATAAGATGACCCTTCAGATCTTTTTTAAAAAACCTACATTATGATGGCAGCCTGTCATATTTATCATCCCATTTGATTCCCAAACTGTCACCACTTTCTCTACGCTCAGAAAATAGGGACCTGAAGATGCGACAGCACTCTTTTATAGCCCTTCACAGCCACAAAGCACTTTTCTCAGAGACATCATCTGTATTGATTCTCACAACAAACCTCTGAGATTGGCAGGGCCAGGAATATCATCCCCTTTTTACACGTAAGGAAACAGGCTCAGAGAAAGTCTGTGTCTGGGGGACACATGTCAGGGGTGTCAGCAGCAACAGAGTGATCTGGAGATGGAATTTTCCAATCACACATCTCTCAAGGGATCCAGTAGGTACCTGTGGCCTGAGTCATGCCTCACTGATTTCAGCTGACCTTGTATCACATTGGCAGCTAGATGTCACAGTGGGTGAAAATACTGTAGCTGGTGTCAAGAAGACCTGGGTTTAAATTCTGCTTCAGACACTTGCTGGCTGTGTGACACTGGGCAAGTCACCTGTCCTCTCTAAGCTTCAGTTTTCTCATCTGTAAAATAGGGGTAATAACCCCAACAGGGTTGCTCAAGTGAGAAAACATGTAAGGAGCTTTATAAACTTTAAGGTACTACATAAATTCTAACTGTTGTCATTGTTGTTGATTATTATCTTTCTTTTCCTCAGGCATTACGGTGGACAAGTTCGGGCTGATCTACTTCGTGGATGGCACCATGATCAGGCGCATTGATCAGAATGGAATTATCTCCACCCTCCTGGGATCCAATGACCTGACCTCTGCTCGGCCTCTCAGCTGTGACTCCGTCATGGATGTATCTCAGGTGAAAAAGGTCCCTGAGTAGAAACCCCAGGCAGGAAGCCTGGTTTGCTGGTCTCGGAGACCTTGGCCTCCCACAAAGGATCTGGCCAGAGGCCTATTTCTTTATGGCCTGGTCATTTGGCACAGCCGAGCTCAGCCCTGAATCAGATTAACCTCGAGGTTTGCATACATACACTTTTGCCTGAATTAGCAACAGGAAGAGAAGTCTTGAATTACATCAGATTGCAAATTGGTTACAGCCCCAGTCAAGCAAAGGTTTTTACACCCTTGGCCTCATAAACACACCAGCCTACACAATAATGCTCTCTCCCTCCCCCCCCCCTCCCCTCCCCTCTCCCCCTCCCTCTCCCTCTCCCTCTCCCCCTCCCTCTCTCTCTCCTCTCTCCTCTCCCTCTCTCTCCTCTCCCCTCCCTCTCTCTCCTCTCTCCTCTCCCTCCTCTCCCTCTCCCTCTCCCTCTCCCTCTCCCTCTCCCTCTCCCTCTCCCTCTCTTCTCTCTCTCTCTCTCTCCTCTCTCTCTCTCCCTCTCTCTCCTCTCTCACTCTCCCTCTCCCTCCTCTCTCACTCTCTCTCTCTCTCTCTCTCTCTCTCTCTCTCTCTCTCTCTCTCTCTCTCTCTCTTTCAATTATTATTTTTATTTTTAGAGTTTATCAGACCTCTTCCTATGACGCAATGTCTGGCTCCCACCTTCCCTCACTCTCCTGCAGAACAGGAGCTGGTTCAAGGCCTAATAATAATAGTAATAACTCATATTCACATTTGGCTTATACATATTATTTGACCCTCATAACCACCCTTTATGAGGTTAGATAGTGCACATGTTCTGGTCCTATGCCTGGCTCACCCTCCTTCCTTCTGTTCACCTGTTGAATTCCTACCTGGTCTTTAAAGCAGGCATCAAATGTCACCATCTATGGAATTATAATACTAGAATACAGATAGGGATGGACCTGAAATTTCATTCAGATAGGGAGCTTTCAAGTGAGGAAAGTCCCTCGAGTATTTCCTTTGCAAATTAGGGTCTTAAGAGAGTTGCTGGGTTAAATATTTTGCACCAGGGTCACCCAAGCCAGTATGTGTCAGAGGTTAGATTTGAATTCAGTTCTTCTTAAATTTGAGGCTGGCTCCCTAGCTGACATTTATGTGATTTTTTTTGGTTTTGTTTTATAATGTACTTAATTATCTATTTTCAGTACATAACAACTCTTTGAGTTAGGTAGTGTAGTACAAGTGTTAGGGATATAGAATCTTAGAGACGAAACCTTAGAGATTGTCTAGACCAACCCCCCCATTTTACAGGGAAGTAAACTGAGGCTTAGAGAGGGGAACAAACAATTGGACCAAAGTCAAAGAATGAGTTAGTAGAAATAGAATCCAAATTTTCTAAACCACAGAATGAATTTAGCACTGGGAGTGACCTTAGAATTAAGTGAATCTAATTCCCTCATTTTACAGATGAGGCAACAGTCTGAGACAGGTGAAGTGATTTGCCCAAGGCCACATGGCCAGTAAATAACTTTCCCATCTCCTTATTATTGTTCCCAATTAGAAGATGAGTAATCACCAGCCCATGAGGTGAAGTGACCTGGCCTCAGCCACACAATGAGTTAGGAAAGGTCATCTGACCTTTGGTCTAGTTCTGTCTTACCTGTCTACGGTCTGTTTAATAGACTTTCTAGAAGGTTTACTGAGATAATCATTAATATCTCCTTTCTTTACTGGCTTCCTTCCTAGTCACATTGTTTGGTGAAGTAATATCTATAAATGTGTAGGTGTGCACTGATTCGTAATCAGAGGCAGCATGGTGGCATAGAGAGGGCTTTGGAGTCAAGAAACAATCTGAATCATGGAATCTCTGCTCTAATTTCTGCTCCTTCAGGGGTCAGAATCCCCATCAAGTCCAAACAGTCTTCCTTACTAATTACATGGACTTGTGGAAATCATTTCCCTACCCTGGGCCCAAATTTACCACTGTAAAATGAGGCATTGGGCTGAATGATCTCTGAGTGCCTTTCCATTTCTAACATCCTCTGCTCTTTGTTCTAGCCTGGGTTTTGAAAACCCCTTTTCAACTCTTACCATTCTGTGTTCTAACATTGTACACTCTCATGTCCTTTCCCAGCTCTGATAGTCCCTAAACCTACACAAAAACACAAGCATACACATACTTTTCCTGCATTTGGGGACCATCTTTTCATCATTGGTGACAGCCATAATGATCTCTGCAGTCGGGTCCCCAGGGTACCACGAGGGCAGAGGGCAGAGGGCATAAAATATTTAGCTGCCAACGGTGACAAGAAATGAGTTTTAAGAAAATGAAAATTCCCTTGTCACTTCAGAGTAAAGTGTGGTCTTGATATTAACCAAGGGCAGCCGTGAAGCCGTATTCCAGAGAGGATTAGGAGGCATGAAGGCAGTTGGGACAGAAAGCCACAGGCTCTAACACTCTCCACGGGAAGAGGAAACAGATGCCAGAGACTGGAGAAAGATGTGGAATAGGGAAGCCATGTCTAAAATAGAGAGATGAGGGATATGAATCTTTGCCACCATCAACAGACGACAGCCTTGATTCAACATTCATTCATTCATTCATTCATTCAGCAACCCTTATCAATACCTACTGTATACAGATCTCTGTACCCAAGGCTGGAAAAGATACAAATGATAAAAATAAAATAAATAAATTAGATAAGACACAATCCTCACCATGTAAAATATATGAAAGTAAAAAGTATTTAAGCAAATTATTACAATACAGATAGGATGTGATAAAGGGATAGGTGTCTTACAAAGTTAGTCAAAGTATGGGAGGGTTCAGAGGAGAGAAATAATGAGAAATAATAGCTAAGGTTTGTATAGCTCTTTAAGATTTGCAAAGTACATATATTATCCCCATTTGATCTTCACAGATGAGGAAACTAAAGTAGACAGAGGTTATTAAGTGACTTGCCCAGGGTCCCTCAGCTAGTGGATTCGAATTCAGGGAGATGAGTCTTCCTGACTCCACCTAATGAACAGGCCTTCCTGACTCCCAATCCATTGGCTCATTGCCAACTAGGGGGATTATTAAAGGCCACAGAGGGGAGCTGGCTGCTGAATAAGCAAAACCCCACAAAGCAGTTTGTTTTGACCTTCTCTTAGACATGAGTATTGTGAGGGCTGGAACCGCCTCAGCTAAAATTTTTGTCTTCCCCTGTCCAGAGCAGCACAAAGGTTTTCTAAACGGGAGGTCCCTGATGAGTGCTGGTTCTTGCGGAGCTAGGCCTCAAAGGATGTGTCAGTATGGCCTGTGAAGCCTTAATGCTTTGCTCAGCAAGAGTAGGCAGGCTATGGAGGAGAGTGGATAGAGCCCCGGATTTGGGCTTAGGAGATCCAGGTTCAGATCCCTGCTCTGACACTGCATGGCTCCCTTCTTAGTGCCTCTGCTTGCTCCAGTCGACTGGCCTCTATTTAGAAAGTCCTTGCTAGACCTTGGTGAGACAGGGAGACTGATAAGATGATGCCTCTACCCTCAAGAATCCACTAATAGAGTTGGTGAGAGAAAATATAAACACATGAAATATGAATAAAACAAGCAAAGACTTAAATGACATTTCAGGATGCCAGAGTCCAAGATATCATGAGGCTATAAAGGATTAGTGGGTGGATCAATACCACAGATGCTAACTGCCATAGAAGTTCGTAGATGAGAAAGGCCATTTCAGGCTGGTATAAGGAGGAGAGACTTCAAGAAAAAAGGCTGTCAGGTTGTCAGTCAATAAGCCTTTATTAACTAACTGCCTTCTCTGTAGCAGGCACTGGGCCAAATGCTGGATGTGGCCTAGCTTCATCAGAAATCCCTCACCAGGCTTTGCATGTAATTTTTGGAATATGATGCATCATTTTTGTTCTTGCTATTAAAATAAATCTTCCTTGTCTTCCAGAAGGCAGAATCGAGAGAAGTGGGAGTTCAAAGTTACAGGGAGATAGAACTCATTTGAATTTTAAAAAAAAATTCCTGACAGAATTATTCAGAAGTGCAGTGGTCTGCCATAATAGGTAGTAAGTTTGCCATCACTAGAGGAGTTCAAATAAGGGTTAGACTTCCACTTGTGGGGTGTCACTTAGCCAGTATGTATCAGTGTTGGGGCTAAACGCATCAGCTACACCAGGCCTTCTCCGTTACATTAGTTAATATTTCCTGCCTCATGGTCCTTCAGGTGTCACTTTCTTCCCCAGGCCTTCCTTGATCCATGATTGGTAGGTACTTTGTCCCTCAGGTTTCACACGGTGCTTTTATGCCTTTCTGATACATTTATATAATGTTTGCCGCGTCTAACACCATGTTTTATTAACCTTAATAAACTTCAGGTTCCTTAATGATTGGGACTGTGTCTTGTCTAAACTTATCCCATAGGACCTACCCCAAGGCTCTGTACACAGTAGAAGCTTAATAAGTATTTGCTGAAGGAATGGTTAACAATGGTCACGGAGAGCGAATAAGTAATGAGAAAGAATAGTTCACCTTATATCTGTGTCTATTTCCAGGTTCGCCTAGAGTGGCCCACTGATTTGGCAATCAACCCAATGGATAACTCCCTCTATGTTCTTGACAACAATGTGGTCCTTCAGATCTCTGAGAACCATCAAGTCCGCATAGTCGCTGGGAGACCCATGCACTGCCAGGTGCCTGGTATTGACCATTTCTTACTGAGCAAAGTGGCAGTCCATGCGACTCTGGAGTCTGCCACGGCCCTGGCCGTCTCTCACACTGGGGTCCTATACATTGCCGAGACTGACGAAAAGAAAATCAACCGAATCAGGCAGGTCACCACTAATGGGGAGATTTCCCTGGTCGCTGGTGCTCCCAGTGGCTGTGACTGCAAGAACGATGCCAACTGTGACTGTTTCTCTGGGGACGATGGGTATGCCAAGGACGCTAAGTTAAATTCCCCATCTTCCCTTGCCGTGTGTGCTGATGGGGAGCTCTATGTAGCTGATCTGGGAAATATCAGGATCCGCTTTATCCGGAAAAACAAACCATTCCTGAACACCCAGAATTTGTATGAGCTGTCCTCCCCCATTGACCAGGAGCTCTACTTGTTTGACACCAGTGGTAAACATCTGTATACCCAGAGCCTCCCCACCGGAGATTACCTGTACAACTTCACTTACACAGGTGATGGTGACATCACCCTCATCACAGATAACAATGGCAACATAGTGAATGTGCGGAGGGACTCCACTGGGATGCCTCTCTGGCTGGTGGTTCCAGATGGCCAGGTGTACTGGGTGACAATGGGCACTAACAGTGCCCTCAAAAGTGTGACCACCCAAGGCCATGAGTTGGCCCAAATGACTTACCATGGCAACTCTGGTCTCCTTGCAACCAAAAGCAATGAAAACGGATGGACAACATTTTATGAGTGAGTACCAACAAAATTCCATTTGAATTTCATTAAACACACTGTTTTCTAAATGATGGAGTTCAATTTGGGAGTAATTTAGGTTACATTTATTTTGGTCAAAAGTGTGGGTTATGCATCAGTGCCTATAATATATTCTGTGCTTATATTCCAAATGGCTTTTTCTAGGAGATTCCCATACAACATGATATGGCATGGTGTGAAAGTCCCATCTCTCCTCACATTACCCAAATGCCCAAATACCTGAATTAGAATCACTGAATTAGAAGGGCCTTAGATATCATTAAGCCAACACCTCCCTGAAACATGAATCCCCTCTCCAAAACCCCCGTTGGGTAGTCATCCAGCCTCTATTTTAAGACCTCTAAGTATGGGGAGTTGACTTCCTCCCGAGGCGTCCTGTCTCACCCATCCCATCCATCCATTGTTGGGGAGTTCTGATTGTTAAGGAGTTCTTTCATGGCACAATGGTAGCCCATCACATCACGCAACAACGTTATCAAGCAAGTGATCCCACCAGGTATTCTACGTAAGACAAGGGGAGGAAGAAATGGTACAGAAGACATCATTGTCAGATCCTCAGAAGACATGGAATTCTGATTTTCTAAAATGTGTTACCACAAACTTCACATTAAAGAAAATTCTGCAATTAACAAAACTTCACATTGCCCAAGGTCATACTAGTCAGTCAAGTCATTAATGAACAAGTGTTTATTAAGCACCCACTATGGGTCCAGCAATGTTCTAGGCACTGGGGATGCAAAAAACTAATAATCTCTACTAAACTCTCAAGGGGCTTATATTCCAGTATATACCACACTTCCTTGCCTTCAAGTAGTATAAATATAGTAGATAGAAAATAAACATACAGAGAATAAATCCAAATCATCAACTAATTATAACGTAGTAGGTAGTTTGGGAGAGAGCAGTTGAGGGGATTCAGAAAGGCTCCATGTAGCAAGTGGTCCTTGAGCTGCGTCTTAAAAGAAGAAACTCCAGAGTTGAGGTGGAAGTGCATTCCAGGCCTGGGGGACAGCCAGGACAAAGGCCCAGAGAAACAGGAGATGACAGAGTGTCCAGTGGGAGGAGCAGAGAGAACAGTCAATCAAGACAAGTCAACGCTTCCTATGTGCCAGGAACTATGCTAATTAGATGACAATCTGACTAGATCCCAAAGGGTAGGAGGAGTAATATTTAATGTGGCTGGGTAAATAGATTGGAGAATGTGTTGTGAAGGATATGTTTAAAAGCTGAACAGGGGTTTACATTTGCTCCTAAAGACAGTAAGGAACAAGTGGAGCTGATTGATAAGGGTCAAATCTTTGATCAAAGAGAATTACTTTGGCAGTAGAGTGGAGGTCGGCCTGGGTTGGTGAAGGAGCTTGAGGCAGGGAGACCAGTTATAGGACCATCGCAAGAATCTGGGGAGAGACAATGAGGGCCTGAACTAAGGGGATAGTTGTTTGAGTATAAAGAAGAGGTCAGACGTGAGAGATGCTTTGGAGGTATAAATGGCAAGATCTGGCAAGTGACTGGAGATGGGGGGTGAGAGAGAGTGAGGAGATGAGGATGATGCTGAGGTTACGAAAATGGGAGACTGGAAGGATGGTGTTGCGTCAGAGAGAAATAAAGATGTTTAGGGTCATCTAGGTGGCACAGTGGATAGAGCACCAGCCCTAGAGTCAGGAGGACCTGAGTTCAAATTCGACCTCAGACACTTACTAACTGTGAAACCCTGGGCAAATCACTTAACCCTGATTGCCTCCGGAAAGAAAGACAGAAGGAAAGAGAAAGATATTTGGAAGAGGGGAGGGCTTAGGGAAAAAGATAATGAGCTCCATATTGGTTGAGTTGGAGATGTTTTGAGGACATCCAGTTCCAGAGCTAATAAGGCCATCACTAAGCACTTACAGGGTCAGTGGATTTTGAGCTAGGAGGGACTTTGCCGATCATCTGGTCCAGGCCCATCATTTTACAGAGGAGGAAACCAAGACTGAGAGTGGTGGCGTGATTTGTCTGAGGCCAAGCAGTAAAAAGTTGAGCTGGGGTTCAGCTCCAGCTCTAGTGCTCTCCCCAGTTTCACACTGTTGAAATCAGAACTCAGACCAGAGCCTCAGTCTTAGTTCAGTGAGGCTTGCTGCCTTTCCACTTTCCCTGACTAATAAAAATAAAAGAGATAACAGCCTCAATTTCTGCAGCACTTTAAGGTTTGCAAAGCTATTATACATGTATCACATAGCATTTTATCCTCACAACAACCACCCTGTACATTAAGCATTAATATGATTCATTTCTTTATTTATTTATTGTTCCCATCTTACAGATGAGAAAGCTGAGGCTGAGAGAGGTTAAGTAATTTACCCAGGGTCACACAGCAGGACTTAAACTCAGGCCTTCCTGACTCCAAGTCTCCAACTCTAACTACTCTGCTTGGTCCATCCTTTGTGGCACAGTATTTGCCTGGCAGGTGGAGGCAGGTCACAACAAGATCTTGTTTTCAAACCCCTCGGCTTCCCACAGGACTCTCCTGGCACCTTACACTTGTGGAATCCCAATGGGGAGAGAGCCAGCTGTCCCTGCCATAGGAACTCACTCAGCTCCTTGTCCGGTTTACTGCTTTCCCTTAGAATTAGACATAGTTTGGCAGCAGAGCATAAATCAGCCCCACCAAGCCGAAGTCAGCGTGAAAGGAAACAGCCAGGAGCCAAGGGCCCTTCCTTACTGGGAAACAAAACAGCCGCACGCACCAAATAGGTGTTGTGGTCATGCCCATTCCTCCTGAGGAAGGCAATCATTCAGTGCCTCTCACAAGCCAGGAAGGGAGACTGCTAGCTGAACCTGACTCTCCCCAGTTAGGAGGAAATGGCTGCTGAAGTAGAAGTGAGGGGAACTTTAGGGGAAAGTCCAAGTGGACACGAGCCAGCCTTTGAGAGTCCCCAGACTCTGTAGGCATCAACAGCCCCCCAAAACCATTGTGATACTGGGCTGCACTGAAAGAATCATGGCCGTGAGGCGAGTCACAGTCTTGCTGCACACTGCCCTGGTAGGCCCACACCTGGACTGTTTGGATCCAGTCGCCGTGTTTCAGGATGGGGACCGTGTCACGTGAGATGGTATTGAAAAACCTGAAGATGTTTTAGCGTGGGGAGAAGGGAAAACTTGGGTCAGGGTGTGATAGCTCTCTTCAGATATTTGAAGGGCCGGCTGTCGAGGAGAATAAGAATTCAATTTGTTCTGTTTCACCCCAGAAGCAGGACCAATGGGTAGAAGGTACCTGAAATCAGATTTTGGCTGAGTCTGGGGATGGAGATGTGGGGGAAGACCTTCCTGCCGCATAGAGCTGTCCCAGAGGTGACATGGACTGCCTTTGTCGGGGACTAAGTTCCCCATCGCTGGAGGTGTTGGAGTAGAGTCAATATAATCCCTCATCAAAGATGTTGTAAATACCTATTGAGGGGCAAATTGGACTTTTATCACCTCTGAAGTGCCTTCCTACTCTGAGAGGCTGTGATTCTGTGTTAGGGCTCACAACTCTGGTTAATAGGGAAGGATTCACCAGAAGGGTTATACGGACTCTCCTGAGAGAAGCCCTTTTATTTGATCACCGTGCAGATTCCAGGCATGTCCCATTTATAGAACGTTGTTGGACGCTGAATTCTTCCATATAACTAAATGTTCCAGTCATCCAAAAGTTTAACTCCCAAAATGCCAGGTGTTTTCCTCCTCTTAACCCTTGCCATGGAAATCTTTCTAAAATAAATTACCGCACTTCCTTGCCTTCATAAACAGGGTGTTGGATGTTATTTGATTTTATACTGATGTTTAATCATTGCGAACATCAATTATTATCCTGCGCATGGAGTAATGATGACCCTTGAGTTTAGTGAAGTGCATAGGGCGTTTGGTACCTGCATGAAGTAGCCCCAGATGGCTGAGTTCTTGGAATTCTGTGTCTGCCACTGGCGATCTTCTGCTTCCTGATTTATTGTCTGTTCTCATTCTTCTTTGCCATTGGTGGGCCTGCCTCCAGTCCTAGCAGCTGTTTCTGATCTGCTGTGGGTTTAGAAACAAATGAACCATACTTGTTACCACCATGTCTCAAGTAAGAGTAAATAGGTGCTAAGGGAAGTCCTAAGAGACTCTCTAAGCAAAGTACAAAAATTTGACTGCAGGGAATTTATAACATCTATTTAGGCTGCTCAAGGACAATTTAGGCTTCTTTCTTTTCTTGGCTGTGTTGCAAATATTTGAACTACCTGGTAGTTAAGTGACCTCCAGATAAGTAAGATGGTTCTGTAAATCCCAAAATGAATTTGGATCCTTAAAATTTAACCAGGTATTTTGTCATCCCAACAATCTAAAGGAAGAAGGCTTATGATCGATTGTATTATATTCACGTACATAACTTACCTTCCTCCAGTAACGACTACCTCCATACCCAAATGTGGCAGAGAAGAAAACATGGCATCCTGAAAGCAGTTCTTGAGAAGCTGTGAAGCTCTCAAATGTGGTCTTGGCAATGAACTCTATTCTGTCCTCTCAGGACCGTCATAGCTAAGTTTGGAGAGGTACATCCCTGGTAACTTAGCCACCAGTGATGATTTTTTTGGAACCAAGAACTCATGGCTACCTTCTGCTAAGTTGTGAAGGGAGTTTTTTCCAAGCAATGTTTAGTAAGCACCTGCTGTATTCAGAGCTCCACGCCCATCACTGGGGAAAATAAAAAATTTCAGTGAGACACATTCCTTTCCTTCCTAAGGTTTACAATATAACAAAGAAGTTTTAAATCTGCTTGGGTGGAAGGAACACTCACAGATCTGAGGTCACAGATCCTTGCAATATTAAAGTTGCTAAGTACAGTTGTTCCTAAAATGCACACTGTTGTCTCAACAAAGGTCACTGCTGTAGATTATTTTATCCAAAATACAAGAGACCTTTTTATTTTTTAAGGAGAAAAAGCCTTAGAAAATAGCAATTGTCTTGACTAACTCATTGAAATG